CCGCGCCCTGCTGCCCCCAGCAGCCTGCGCAGGGCCGGGCATCCCCGGCGGGTGCAGCACTGAGCATCCCCACCCTGCTGCCCTGAGCACCATGCCCAGGACAGGGCATCCTTGCCCCATGCAGCACCCCATCACTGTGCAGCCCTGAGCCATCGCCACACCAAATATCTCCACCCAATGCAGCCCCCCATAGAGCCCCCAAGACCCTCAGCCCTCCTGCACTGCCCACTCCAGCACTGCAGAGCACCCAGCACCTCTGCTCCCCCCTGCCACCTCCATGCGCCTGGTGCTGATGCCAGGGTGGGCTGTGGGATGACACCCACGCATCGCATCCCTGGGGTCTTTTGAGCGGTGTGGCCTGGCCCTGGGCACCGCAGGCATCAAAGCTTGGTGGGCAGCAAGGCTGATGCTGCAGACGGTCCTTATGTCCCTGGAAACCTGGACATAAGCAACTCTTACACAGCAATATGTGCTTCCATTTTGGTTACTGAATTTTCTGACTTCAAGGAAATGTTTGTTATTTAAAATGCAACAAATCCTGGGATTATACTATTAAATGGCCATTTAATCACCTGTGCATTCTAAATCAAGCTGTTTCCTTCTGGAAAAAAATAAAGGGGGGCGGGGTGGAGAAGAAGACTGCCTTGGGTCATCCTTGAAGGACACTCCACTCTTACATCACACCCAAGCAAGCTTATCATTTCCAAGGCCAAATTTTGCCTGGCTCTCCAGAAAGCCATGGTTGCAGCTCCATACTGATTGCAGTCTTGCTAAACAGCTGTGGTCTTCTCCTTCATTGTGGAAATAGTTGGGCAATACACAATATTTCCCATAGTAGATGAAAAGATTATGCCTAAGTAATCTCCTTAAATAGTTCTGATGCCTTGTGAAAAGAGTGATTGCAGGAAGGACACACATATTGGAGGAACAATAAATGATGCAACTGGATTAAACATCACTATAATTGAGCATTTAGCTACAGCACATCAGCATTCTTCCTCTGTGACCCTCAGGTTCTGCCTTAAGTGTGGTCACACTTTTCTTTTGAATAAAGTGCACATCTAGAGGCTAAATAATTTCCCCAAATAAAACTGGTGGGAACAGAGAGAAGTTGTCATTAAAATGGAATATTCCTATTTTCCAGGTTTTGATGTTTTCCTGTAGGCTCCAAAAGCAGGGCTGGGTTTCTCTATATTCTTCTGCTCGGCTACCCAACACCAAGCCCTGTGTCAGACCTCTTTGCACAAGGGTGTGCATCATGTCTCCACACGCACATTCTGCAGTGCTGCCTTGCCCCCTGGGGCCGCTTTCTGCAGCCGGCCCCTTGCCCCCTCAGGCCCCCCATGGCTGGTGGTTCCTGTTTTCCAGTGTTTTCCCCTTCTCGGGGAGCTCCCTCGCAGCCAGGGAGGCTCAGGGGTGCAAAGGCCAGGCAGGAGGGACGCAGCGGATTTTGCAGCGGCGCTGCAGGCTCTGCAGGCTGCAAACCGCTTACTCATGGCTGCTGCAAGGCATACAGAGCTGGCGGCTGAGCAGGAGTCTTAGCTCTGGGACAGCCCCTGCAGGTGCTGCTTTTACTGATGGTTTTCTTGTGCCTGACCCTGATGCAGCCTCCTGCTGTCCCTGAATCACAGCTTTCTCTACTCTGTAACCATGTTCATGGGTCCCTGCTTGTCTTTCCTTTGGACAGGGCTACATTTTTCACCAAACAAAAGCAAAATAAAACAAAATAAAAGATCGGTCCTCCCTTATTAGCAAGTGGCAGAGCTGGCCACAGACTCCTCCATACAGTCAGAAATGGATTTTGCAGCTATAGGAGGGCAAAGCTGCTGTAGAGGAGGAGGTGGCAGCCATGTATATCCTGTAAGGGGGAAGAGTGGCCAGGACGGGCTAGGAGAAGGCTCAATGTCACCTCTGGAGTCAGCTGTATTGGGAGCCAGTGAAAACTGCCCCTTGCACCTTCCTTTCTCTGTGGTGGTTGGAGCAGAAATCCCACCGGAGAGGACCCCAGACTGCGACAGTGACCGCGCTGCCTTTGCCTCCCTGCAGGACACCATTGGGCAGCTGGAGGATGACCTGCGAAACACCAAGAATGAGATGGCCCGGCACTTGAGGGAGTACCAGGACCTGCTTAATGTGAAGATGGCCCTCGACATCGAGATAGCTGCCTACAGGTATGGCTGGGGCCCCCCCCCCACCAGCCCGCACAGCCGCAGGGGTATTTAGGATTGAGAACTTGCCTGCTTGGCAGAGTCAATGCATGTTGGGTCAGGGCATCGCAGGCGTCTCTTACACAGGTGGAGAAGGCAGATCCACGCTGCCATTCAGAGAGCTGGGTTTTGATGGGGTTTCCAGAGGGGGAGAATAGAGTCAGTCTTATGAACCACATATTGAAAGTGCCCCCTGAAATCACAGAAAAGTTTTCTTATTTTAAACCAGTTTCATGCTGCTCAGATCTATACTGTACCCCATTAAAGGATAAATACTGGGAGAAAGGGCCTAGGAGATCCTCATTAGTGCTGCAGAGACATAGCGAGGAGGAAGGCAGTGTAGGGGGGATCTGCAGTGCCATCCAAGACAGTTTTCACCCCAGCTTCGGGTGACAGCTGAAAATCAGGCTCCTGGTTGCGCTGGGTGTCTGTTATTGTTCAGACTGATTTTCACCATGAAGGAGTCCTGGGGACGTGGCAGACTAACCTCTCCCCTTGCCCTGTGCTTGCAGGAAGCTGCTGGAGGGGGAGGAGACGTACTTCAGCGAGGGAAGCATCAGCCTTGGAGTGACCAACCCCTTCCCTAACCCTGCTTACTCTTTCCAGCCAAAGCTCTTTAGTTCCTCCATGGTCACTAGTGCAAAAGCATTCCCTCTGTCCATCAGGAAAGATGAAGAAGAAGAAGTTATTAAAGTGGCCTCCAAAATATCATCTAGCCGGGCTGAAGTGATAGAGGAGACCATAACCTCCACCAAAAAGATGGAGAGGGCCAACCTGCACCATGGGAGCATAACAGCTGTAAAAATGTAACCAGGGCCGTCCCGGCCCTTTTGCATTCGAGGGGGATCAGTCTGTCCCGGGGGACCGCGGCTGCTCGGGAGCTTCGTCCCCGCCTGGGAGACTCCGAGGCAGCCGGGTCCCCAGGAGGCGGCCGAGCGGGACACGCTGCTCCCTTTCGGAGAGGCAGAGGCACAGCCAGATAGATGCATGTCGGTCGTGTTTGTGGTTGCACCATGGCTCATAGCGCTCACGCTCCCTCCTGCTGCCAAGGTGAAGCCGTGCGGCTCTGTAGGTCGGTGGGAGATGGAAACGGGACCCAACACACACGCTACAGCTAGTTCCCAGGCTCTATGCCTTTGTCTCATGTCTAAACCTGTATGTATCCAAAACAACCCCCTCCTCGAGCTGCAGCCATCCACTTGAATCCCAGGAGCACAGAAATAGCCATAGTGAACTATGAAGGTACCTAACTTCTGCTATATGAGGCACATACGTTTTCAACTATAAGGAATAGTCATTTTTCTTGTTTTGATTGCCCACATGATGCTCTCTTTCTCAGCAGCATTAGCCTAGCCGTGTGCTCAGGACTTGCTAGTGGCCGGGAAGCAGTAGCATCACCAGCACTGAGGGCTTGGGCACGCCGGGCCCCCAAAACCTCCCTGTGCAGCTGCCAAGAGCCATCCAAAAACCCTGGGACCACATCAGAAACCAGCCGTGAGCGGGTGCTGTCGGTGGCCACCCAACATTCCTGTGTGCCAAAACCTACTAGCACATCTGTGTCTCCCACTGAGCCACTCCAACGCGCCTGTGCCAACCTGGATGTAGGGTTCCCAGCTGTAGGTTTCCTTCAATGCCTTAAAATGTCCAGCACTGACGCCTGCAAGAGGCCACAAGCCACGCGTGCCGTGGGCCGGCACCAGGGCAGTTCCAGGGCCCAGGGGCACTTGCGCCTGCTCTCCCCCTTCTGTTGTAAGGCACGAGTTAGTCATTAAAAAGGAGGAGATAGTTGTGTGAACCAACCTCGCTGTCTTGTGGTCTTTGCCTTCAGGGTCTTTCCTGGAATTTCCAAGCCAAAGAGGCTGGGGGGAGGATGACCTGGGAAACCTGGAGGAGGGACTGGATGGGAAAATGACTGGCTGGAACAGGGACCAGGGAAGGGGCCCAGAAAGTACCTAAATGCACCAGAAAGGAGCAGTCTGGGGTTTAGGTGACCTTAGGAGTTTGAGGGCACCTCTGCTCCATCCCAAGGACCTTGCAGGGTCTGATCCTGCCCCAGTGACTCCCACAGCAGCCTGTGACCTGCTGCGCCTGATGTAGCTGGGCTGGTCCCAGCCCAGGGGTCCCCCACACAGGGCCACCTTCCAGCACAGCCAGCAGCTCACACAGCTCTGCCAGGCAGAGGCATCTGGAAAGGTCACAGCAACCACCCGGGGCAGCAGGGAGGCTCTCAGCCTGGGTCCGGAGCAGGTCCTGACCTGCTCTCACCTCCTACCCTGCGGGATGCTCCTTGCCCTCGCTCTTCCCGGCTTTAGCAGAGTATTGAAGCCAACAGAGAGCTCAGCATGACCTGTTCAGACGGTCACCAGCACTGGGGGCATCCACCCAAACCTCAGCTCCTACAGCTGCCACCTGCACCGCGGCTCCTCGCGCCTGTCGGCTCATGGCACCTCCTGAAGCCTTCGCCAGCACAGCGCCCAGCTCGAGCAGGGCAATAAATCCTCTTTTGCGGTCCCATCTTTTTTTTTTCCTGGTTTAATCACCAGGGCTGCCCAGGGAAAGGATCAGAGCACACTGCAGGTGCTGCAAGATTTACGCCTCTGCAGAGCCTTGACCGTGCAGATAAAAGGCAGTTGCAGACACCGACTGCACCATTGCATGGGGAGAAGCAAAGAGCAGTCCTTTCTCCACAATGCTACCTTGTGTTCGTCCCTATACCAGGAAGGATTCCAGCCTCCAAGAAGGGGGACAAGCTCCAACCCCGGAGCTGGCTGGAGATGCGGGCCTGTGCGCAGGCAGCCGTGCTTCGTGGCAGATTCGCTCTGCTCGTTTAATCTCCCCGTGGGCGAGATGGAGCCGCCCGTGCACACTGGGACACCAACGGAGCGGGTCTGGGTCACCTTCTGCTGCGGCGATGGGAGGTGCTTGTATTCCATCATGATTCTGGAAGCTGGAGAGCTCCTGGGGAGCCTTGCAGTAAGTGAAGCTTACTGAAGCTCCTGAAACGTGCAGCTTCTGAAAGGCAGCGAGAGTCCCTGCACACGGAGGACAAATTTAGCCAGTGAAACTTGTTGGTGCTGGAATTCATGAAAGAGCAAGCTGCTGAATTGAGCCAAACAAAAATCTTTCAGAGGAAAAAAAACAAAAAAAACCAAAAAGCACATTTGTCTCTGGAAAGAATGCAAACATCTCCAGCTCCAGGCAGGGAAGAGTCCTGTTACTGAGCAAGGAGGAATCTACAGGCAATTCAGAGCAAAGTCTCCTCCAGCTCCAGAGCACAGACACCTCTGCAGGGGGAAGAGCTTCCTCTGGAGCGAGCAATCCACAGTGAGAGCAGACCCTGGATGGGAGCAGCCAGATGTGCACCTGAACATCTGCAGCAGTAGGGTTTGACACTTCAACACTGCAGAAACAACACTGGTGATATGAGCTCATTTGGGCAAGTATTCACAGGCACTTGGAAATAAGGATCATTTATTCTGCTGGCTGCCTGTGACAGGGGGACCTGGTGGAAGACACAGGGGGCACCACAGGGAATATCCCAGTGTAGCACAGAGGCCCTGGAGATCTACGACTAAAAATGCCCATCACTATTTGAGGCAGGGTAAAATGTTTCCAGCAAAATGAAATGTCCTTAGACTAGAGCCTTAGGGAACCAAGGATTATGTGAGCCTACTGTGAGTGGACACACTCCCTTCCCCGGGCATTTTTTCTGCTCATCAGCTTAACTTTAGCCATATTTGACAGGGAGCAAAGGCCTCAAAGACACCAAACTCCTCCCAGTTTCACACAGGCAGCTGCAAAGGCAAAACATACTCATTGATAACAAATATGAATCCTCTTATTAGTCACGCATGCAGAAGGCAGGAATTACGAACACCTCAAGACCAGTGCAAGCTCTCTTGTGAGCTCATTTACAGGCAAAAGACAAAGTACAAAAGAAAAAGAAAAGAAAGGAACTTCACTGTTTTTTACTGTTTGTTGACTGGACAACTTGTTTCTTTAAAACGGAAATTCTCCACAGGCAAACAAATCAATCACGTGCAGCCACAGCGCCCTACCAATTGCACCTTGTTATTCATCACTTGGAAGAATTTTAAACATGTAAAATTCTGGTCCTCACAAGGTTGCTTTGGTAATAACTATTGGTCCCGCTCTGCCTGTTTTCCTTCGTTAGGCTATGAAAAAGACGGTAGAGTTTTTCAGCTGGTTGCCCGCCCTTACATATCCAGCCCAGCACGCAGGGTCTCATTCACACGTGTTCTTGTTGCTCTAAATGGACAAACCGGGGAGGGAGGAACTCGCTTCAAGGCCGCAGAGCAGGTCGGTGACGGAGCTGCCGAGGGAAGGCAGCCGTCCTTGTGTTCAGCGTTTTCACTCGCACAGTCTTCCCAACACAGAAAAGCCACCATCGGCCACCTTCTCTATGCTGTGGCATTTAAACAATGCTCTATTTTATCACCATTTGTAGGTGAAATATTTTCCCAGGTCCCAGCCCCAGGCGGTCTCACCTCTCAGTCCCTGGTATATGCAGGAATGTGGTATTGTTTCTGGCAGGACACATTGGGTCACCCCTTGAAATAGCATCTTATCTCATCACAGCCTACATAAAAGGCTGCCGCGAGCTCCGAGCGAACCGCGCTATCTTGGAAGGCCGGCTTGCCCCTCGGCACACAGGGAAAAGGGCTCTCCAGGAACACGCTGTTTTCTTCTTCGTCATCTCTGCCGAGCCCCCACCCGCTTCTCCCTTATTAACGCCGCCCTTGGAGGAAAACAAGTTTTAAGATTTTCTTTCTGAAAAACCGCTCTAATCAAGCGGTAAGAAAAAAACAAAAACAAAAAACAACCCAGAACTTTTTTTTAAACTTAGCAAAATAGTTTGTGTCAAAGCAGCAGTAATCTACAATCTAAAAAAACGGGATAAACTAAATCAGAATGTGGTAAAGGTGATGATACTGTTGCAGTTGCAAAATGCTTGCTGAAGCTGAGTGCAAGGCAGTCAATCAATATTGCATTTCACCTCAGAATGGATTACGACTCACCTCAAAAGCAAAAAAAAAAAAAAAAAAAAAATCAAAAAAACTTGACCTGTGCAGTAAGGTCAGCACCTTGTAACTGTAGGTACAGTTCCTGTACCTATGGCAACTCTTTGAACCCTCAGCAAATATAGGAAGCTATTAGCTCTTTGTGTGAAGGTCTTGCAAAGTTGCATGGGGGAAGCGGGGGGAAGGGGGGGAGAGAGAGATGTATGCAAAGCAAAGCCATCTATTCTGTAGGCATGAAGTTCATGTAAGCCATGACCGTAGTGCTTTTTATATACATATACACACACACAAAGTGTTTTGTTATACATAAGAAAAAATATCAACATAAGTAATAATGAAACAGCAGGTGGAAGTATTGTCAAATTGCGTGACTTGAATAAACCCAAGAAGATCAGAGCTGCAGAGACAGAAGAGATTCACAAAGGACCATCCATAAACACGGATGAAAAAGATCTAGAAGCAAACACAGATATATTGAGAAAAAGTGGTCACAACTACATAGCATGCTTTGCTCTGCATCTGTGTTGACAAGTAATCTGGACGTGTCATTTCCCACTCAAACTCTCATTAACATGATAGTCCCAGAGATTCCACGTAGTTCCAGTTAATGCTATGGTATTCTGGTATTAAACTACTCTACCTTACAACTTTCTCATTTCTTCATTGGAATTTCTAATTCCCTCAGAGCACATCCAGCAGTTTCAATCTGAACTGCTACAATTTTGATGATGACATACAGAAATAGCATGGAAATAAATGAGAGCTGAATTTGAAATCGACTAAAATAAAGTTTATTTTACTGTTACAATATATAATCTCTTATTAACACAACTCACAAAGTGTTTACAAAATAATCTTGTTTGCTGCATTTTCAACACTACTTTTATACAAACTTTGAAAGTAAAATAGTAAATTGTGGTTAGAAACGCTTTTGTTTTCTTTTTTTAGAAGCATCACAAAAATTACTTCATATAAACACCACTTTTTTATTTCCTTATGGTTTCATTTTTGCAGGCAAAACCAAGTATTTATTGCAAAGACCTGAAGAAGGATTCACAAAAGCTTTCTTTCAACAGCGGCTGCTGGTCTCCCCCTCGATTGACTGCACAGCAGTAAATATGACGGTGAACAAGTGCATGCGAGTTAAATTAGTTAATGAGTTAAGTTAGGTGCTCTGAGACGCAGAGTGCTCTGAATTTTGCAGAGAAACCTCCTCTCTCCCCCTGCGCCAGCGACACAGGGAGTCTGGTCTCCCACGCTTAAAGGCGGCTTTTGTGAATCCACACGTTTACAATGGTGTTCAGCAAGACCACAACACACAAAGCTCTGGTTTTTAATTCTGTGCAAGAAACCATGAAGTCTTGAACACAGCAGAATTTTGAAGTATTGCAGTTTTCAGGAAATTTAGTATTTTAATATGTTAAAACTAAAGTTACCCACTATCATTTTGTGAATCAGGGAGTACCACGTGTGCTTTATGTTGTTCAACATCTTCAACTGTGGTCTCCACTACAACACACTAATATACTTTAAGACTGCAAGAGCTACTGTTTTCACTGGTGCTAGAAGGACAGGCTGAAATGGAAGAGGATCTGTGCTCTTGACTGTCAAAACAGTTAAAGGATGTTACATGACAGCAGAATCAGGCTGATAGTGATTACTTTATGTAGAGCAAGCAGGTACAAAGCGCTACTTTTTTTTTTTAAACAAAACATGCATAGTTTAACCAGCTGGCTCATCTCCATTAAGACTATAAATGCATGATGCACCATTTGGTATAAGTCCAACTACCACCATATTCCCAGTGCAAACAAAATTGTCCTTCTTGAAGAAATACAATTACATTTAATGCTAGCTCTAGAAAGAAAGAGAGAAAAAACAAACCCACCCACACTTGTGTTTTCTTCCTATTTTGGTCTGAATTTGGAAAACTCTTCTCTCCCCCCGCCCAAATCACTTCTGAAGACAGATCACCACAGAACCCTCTTTTTTAGGAAATGACTGTCCTCTCCCAGAATACACTGTACTGCTGACTGAGGATTATCCCTGAGAGCACCCTTCCAGGCAAACACTCCAAAGGCATGCAATATCTCACAGCTTAAAGGAAAAAGACAGTTAACATTCGAGATCTAGGGGGTTAACAGAGTAATTAAGAAAAAATAATGCAGCAAGGCTGAGCACTTAAGTTCCCTGAGCGGAGTGAAATTTGGAGACAGTCATTTCTAACACTAAGCATAGCAATACGTCTAGCTGCACTTTCAGAAGTTGTAATTTTTACATTAGTAAGACAGGTGTTACATTACAGGCATACAGCAGTTGGTGTTCCCTTAGCTTTCTGGCACTGGAAATAAGATGGCCTTCTTTGGTGAGAGACGGCACTGAGGAAGCTCCATGACTCTGGATTCTTTCACCATCCCACATTGTAGAGATCTTTAAGTTACTGGTAGTGGAGCTACTACAAGGCCATAGTGCAGAACAAGCAAACCATCCTAGAGAAGAGAGAGAGAAACTGTTCTTCACACATTAAAAAACCCACAAATACATACATTATTTTTATAAAAAGATAAAGGGAGTTGTCTTCTGTATGTATAATAGGCCCCATTTACAACACATGCTGCTTTTTGCAAGATATTGAAAGGCAGAAAAAAGTTCCCAGTGAATGCTTTTACAAGGAGCCATCAAAAAAGCTTTTAACTTTAGTCACCAAAGGAACAAAACAAACAACCAAATTAACAAATCTCTCAAAT